CAGGCACAGGGTCACACCGGAGCTGCTCCAACCCACATCTTCTAAGTCTTGACTTTCCTTCAGGGCTGGAGTACGACCTGGCAGTCAACCTGGTGGGGCAGCCCCTGGTGAGGCAGCAGGTGATGAGAGCAGTACGGGAGTTCCTGGAGAACCGGAATCCCGTGAAGCCCCTGGTGATGTCTTTCCACGGCTCCACTGGAACAGGCAAGACCTACGTGAGCTCCATGCTGATCCGCTCCCTCTTCCAGGGTGGGCTCCGCAGCCCCTACGTCCACCAGTTCTCCCCCGTCGTGCACTTCCCCCATGCTGAGCAGATAGAGCAGTACAAGGTAAGGGACACCCCTCTGCACAAGTACTGCTTGGTTGGGGGGTTGGTTCTATCCATCTTGATCCTCTGTACATACATATTCAGGCTGTTTCCTGAAGTGCAGAAGGAATAAAAGCTTATTGTTTTACCCTCACAGCTGAGTCAGTGGCTCCACACACTGGCTGAAGGATCCACTGGTAACCACCATGTACGCTGGCACTGACTTATCATCTCCTCTTCCCTGCAGCAGTCCTGGCCATGAGCATGTTCTCATTCCTTAAATATTTACACAGCCCTTTCAAAGGCACAAACAAAAGGGCTTTGCTTAGATCAAAGGCACTAAAATTCTCCTGTTGCTTTCCAAACAGCTTGATGGCTGTGAAAACCTGCCTGTCACTGGCCTTGTCATCCCCTCCCCACACAGGCAGCAGCTCCTGAAGAGCTCTAGACTCTTCAACACTCTGCATCTTAAATCTGAGAAAGGGAAGAAGTCAAAATGTGAAGGAGAGCTGCCAAACCCTCAGCAGAGCAGGGAATCAGTGCACCCAGACATTTGCTTCCTGAGTGTTTGGAGAAGTTATTTGTTGTGTTGTGTCCTTAGAAGAAATACTCTCAGGAAGGTCAAACCCATTCTGGGTGAAGTGGCCCATCAAGAGCTGTACATGCCCCCAGGTGACACCAGTGGTTTGGGGTGGGTTGGCAGCTCCAGTGAAGTCACTTCAGCTGTGGTGAAGAACCAGAGCTGTTCTGGGGCAGCACAGGAATGTGTTTTTGCAGCAGGACAGGAGCTGGCAAAAAGCACCTAGTAGCTGGGGACTGTGTAGATACACAGTTAAAGAGAAGAATATGGGGAACTGTGAGAGTCTGAATCCTCACCTTTTGTTTGCTGCCTGCTTCTTTACAGCTCTAATAAAAGATCTGTAAATATAGATCTATAAAAGATCTATAGAGGCTAATAAAACCAGTAGCAGCCACTGTGTGACACCCAGAATGAAGGAGGCTTCCCCACTGCTGGCTGTTCTGCTCCAAGAAGGTGCTGCACAGGGACAAGCTGCTTTCAGCACCTTCAGCTCTGCTTGGGCTCCAGCTCAGCCTTTGCTCTGGGGTAGCTCCAGCCTCCCTCCCTGTCCTCAGCATCTCACTGACCTTACTTTTCCTAGGAAAGCCTGAAGAGCTGGATCCAAGGGAACTTGACCAACTGTGGAAGGTCAGCCTTTCTCTTTGATGAGATGGACAAGATGCACCCAGGCCTGATTGATGTGATCCTCCCATTCCTGGGACCCTCCTGGGTTGTGTACGGGACCAACTACCGCAAAGCCATCTTCATCTTCATCAGGTAAGAGGCCCCTCTGCAGCACCACGGGGCCTTCCAGCACACACCTCCTCATTTGGGCAGAGGTCATACCTGCTGCAGAGCACACACTTTTTCTGCTTTTCCTTCTCCGTGCCTTGAGCCTCTGTAAATATCAAGAGACAATATTTCATTATGCACAGACAGGCCTTGGTGAGTCTGAGAAAGCTTTCCCTGTTGTTTGCCTGCCTTTACAGGAGTATTTTTGCAGGCAGCTGGGAGGGTGACAGGTGCCACCTCTGTCCTGCAACACCATTTTCCCAGAGTCACATCAAATAATCACCCCATTCTTGTGCAGCAACGCAGGAGGGGAGCAGATCAACGAGATGACACTGGATCTCTGGCGCGCCCGCAAGGACCGGGAGGAGATCAGCCTGCAGGACCTGGAGCCAGCCATCTCCAAAGCCGTGTTTGAAAACCCTCAGAGTGAGTTGCTGGAGCAGAGCCCTTCCTGCAGGGTCAGAGCCCGGCAGAGGGAGCCAGGCCCCTTCCAGGCAGCCACCCACATCGCCTGCCGCCTCCCAGGCAGCCAGAGAGGGACCGGGGAGGGGTTTTGAGGCAAAGGCAAGTCCATCCCTGTGAGGTTTCCTGGCACAGGGAAGGAACAGCCCACCCTTCCAAGCCAGCAGACCTGTTGCCGTGTTTACCAGGGATGTACCAATCCCTGCTGCCTGCCTGGCTGTCCTTGCTCTGCCCTTGTCACAGGGGAGCAGAGCTTAAATCCTGACTCTTTAAGCTAAATCCCCCCATTCCTAGAGAACAAGTCTGTTTGGAGGGAGAGCAGGTGACACCTGATGGGTTCAGCTCTCTCCTTGTACAAAGCTGGAGTAGATCTGTCTTCAGCCAAGTATCTTGGCTTTGCACAAGGCAACTCTGAATTCCAGGGACTGCAGAAACTGAAGATAAAAATGTGTCTTCTTTTGCTTTTGCAGGTGGATTCTGGCAGTCTGGGATCATTAATGAACACCTCATTGATGTTGTTGTGCCCTTCCTCCCACTGAAGCACCACCACGTCAAGCAGTGTGTCATCAGTGAACTTGTCCAGCAAGGCCTGGAAGTGCGCCCGGGCATTGTCCAGGAGGTGGCTGACAGCATCCTCTACTTCCCAGAAGAGGAGAAAATATTCTCATCAACAGGCTGCAAAACAGTGGCCTCCCGGATCAGTTTTTTCCTCTAGCCACCAGCCAGGCCCTTGCTCAGATCCATGGGGAGGTAACATGGCAGAGCCTGGGGCTGATGGGATGAGCAGTGGGATCTGCCCCTTTCCACTCAGCAGCACGGGTGCTTCTCCTGCTGATCTCATCTCTCCAGCCCCAAGGACACCACTGCAGGATGCAGCAGCAGGACCAAATGCAAAGGATGTGATTTAAAGCACTTTACTGATGTACTCTTGGCCAGGTGAGGGTGGGTATGGCCAGCCCAGCACACCCCCCGGGACATCTGTGACAAAGGGAGGATGCTCAGGGAGCCTGAAGTCAGGGAGGTTTCTCACCCTCTCAGCAGCCCCCCTGCAGCTCTCCCCTCTCCTGGCAGCTACTGGAACCCAGCACATCAAGATTCTGAGCCCACAGTTGAATGTTTCTGTCTTACAGCATGTTAACAGTTAATGTTTTTATAACGTTTTTAAGCAGGGCTGTTCCTCAGCCTCTGGGCACAATGTGACAGGGCTGGTGGTGACTCCTGCTGGCCTGGGAACACCTTCAGCAAAGTCTTCTTTTCACGGAAGTTTGAGAGGCAATTTCTTCCCATCTTCCTGGTAGGGACCAGCTTCACCCTCCACAAGCATGAAGGGTAATGTGGGAGATGGCAACACCCAACCTGCCCAGAGCCTGGCTCTTCCCACACCCTCCTCTCCACCTTACCCCTAAATCCACAGAATTTCCCTGCAGCAAACCAGGAAAACAAACAAAAAAAAACCCCACACCCAGACTTCTCACTTGTTTTCCCAGCCATAAAAAACTTCCAGACCTACCTCCAGAGAAGACCATGGTGCCACTGATGGTTTTGAAAATCCCTTTCACTCAGCAAGGACTTCCACAGCAGGCTGAGTTGGTGCTACGAGCTGCTGAGCCTCTTGAACATCCTTCTGCTGGTCAGACCTCTCAGGCTCTGGGGGTTCAGCTTCTGGGGAGTGTCACTTAATGACAGGGGTCATCTTAAAGAAGATCAGTGCTCCACTCTGCCAAGTCCAGGGTGCAGAGCCCAGGTTTTAATCTCATCTGTGCAGTCAGTTATGGGAGAACCAGTTAGAGGAACCAGGATGGTTCACTCTCTAGGAATAAACTGCCCAGGAGCTGGCCCACAGACAGACTCCAAAATTCTGCCTCTTCCCCCCAAAAATGTTATGGATTTCTAATTTTAAAATAAATCTTTTATGAAGTAAAATCAATCTTTTATGTTGGGGAACAGTCTTTTGCTTGAGATTCCTGACTGCAGCTAGAGGAGATGGACTTGGAAGATTTGCAGCTGCCTGGGAACAACTGCTTGGTGCAGTGGGATTTTGGGGACATGGCAGCAGGGAACTGATGCTGTCCAGTTAGGTAACTAGAAACAAACCAGCAGCCCTTCCCTGGAGAAGGGGCAAAACAGTAGCAGCTGGGGCCAGAAGCTCTCCCCCAAGGAGACAGTGCAGGTCCAGGAAGGCTGGTGGCTCTTTCTGCCCCAGCTTTCCCCACCTGCCACCACACCCTGGGCTTGCTCACCTGAATCCCTGTCCCTCTGACAGCTCCATCCTTCCAATCATCCTCTAGTGCCCTCGGCAACCTGGGGACAAGTGCCAGGGCAAGGGCAGTGCCACAGTCCTACAGCAGCCCCCAGAGCACTCCTTTAATTGGGAGGGCTGAGGAGGAGTGAGACACCAGCTTGGAACGAGGTTCCCAGGCCAAATGTTGACATCCAGCAACGCTCCCTCACCTTTTTGGAGCAGAAAGGGGCACAATCCACCTTTGCCAGCACAGGTACTTCAGCAGCGAGCTCCTGACACATGACACTGTGCTCCAGAGCAAACCAAACCCTCACGCTCAGGATCTGAGCAACCCTCCCTTTGGAGTGGGCAGCAGGAACAGGATAACACCCCAAAAAAAACAGCTCCCAGCATGTCCCTACTGCTGCTGTCACACCAGGAGACACCAGCCAGGATGGTGTGTGGTGGGGGGAGGCTCTAACCTGCCCCAACAAGGAGCCTGGGTTTCACCTCAAACAAAACCCAGAGGGATCAATCCATGCTGATCACAGCCTGCCCTGAACCAGGGTCCCCCCAGGCTCAGCTCCAGAGCCTGCTGGTAACTCCCCAGCACACACCCCAGCTCCCCCAGGCCAAGGAAGGTGACTGCAGGAGGCAGCCTCTCTATTCATTGGTATCTCTCCCTGCTGCTGAAACCAGCCCTCACCCCAGGAGCCCCGATGCAACCTCCAGCCCAGCTGTTTGCCTGCTCTGTTGACACAGAGCCCCTTCTCCCTCCTCTCATCCTGCAGAGCCTCACCAAGCAGCATCACAGCCTCAGCAAACCCAGCTCCTGGTGCAGTCTCTATAAGCGAAC